GACGCATGACGGTCCTTCAACTAGCTCAGTGACGCGCTGTTGCTTTCTTGGCCTGAGCTCGTGATCTTCCGCATCCGCTTCGCCTATTCGGCGTTTCTTGCTGGTGGGAGTAGCACGGCCTTCAGAATTTTTACTTGGACCCGACCTCGAAGCTTTCTTTCGAGACCATCCATGGCCGCGTCGCTTTCGGGCCTTCGACTTGGTCAGAGGCGGGCAAGGGATATCTAGGCCTTATGTAAGTTCAATGTGACAGTTTCGTACGGTGGTCCAACTCACCTTCGCAATGGTTCTGTGATTCTTCTGTGGAAAGGCCAGAGCCTTGTGGTTCTCGGCTCTCAAATGCCTCAGCTGAATAAATATTTAAATGAGGGACCAAGATATAGGATAGAATTGGAAGCTTACCATTTCTTTCACTGCTTGCTTCTGAGACTTGCGCAGCTTGCGCTGTCTGTAGGTCAGAGAACCTAGCTCCTGCCGAGGAGGACTGGTCCTCTCTGATGATTTTCGGTTGAAGGGCACCGTGGCTACCCGTGTTGGTGCTAAAGGCATTGGCATAGTCGTCGACGGAACCTTCAGCTGTGTCATCAAAGACAGGAGTACTCCTTCCAGTGATTGCCTGCGTGCTGTTTCTCGAGACGCCGAGAGCCGAACGCCTTGGCTGTGCCAACGTCTCATTGCTATCAGCTTCATTGATTCTAGTTTCGGCGGCTGGAAGTCGCTTCATCATTCCTCGAGTAAAGACCATTATTCTTGATGCTGCAGATGCTGCGTTAGACGATAGGAGCGGGTCCTAAGATTTTCTAGTTGTCGGGGGCAGCGGGAGGAAGTAGTTGCGTCAATTCCGCATCCAAGCCCTGAGTCCCACGGCTCTTTTTTGGTTAGTCTGAATTGGCCACTCACTGTCCAACTTGTATTTCACTAAGTCAAAATAAAGTCAGTTTTCTAATGATAATACATATTCCCCTCCCTAATCCTATCCCCAAGCCTAGCCAATACCCAACCTAACAGCCCAACCTATCCTAAACCTAATTGGGGTGGCTTTGCCCCCCCAAACCCCCCCTCCTAACTTCTTAGTCTGAGAGCCACCACATAAGTATTATGTAAGTGGCCATTCAGGGTCGTCCAGAAAAGAGCTGTGAGACTCAGGGCTTGGATGCAGAAAGTCAAGTCTGGGAGGAAGTTGACTTGTTAGAAATTGAGAGCCACACTCTTTATATGACTTCACAATAGGGTTTACCTCATCAAGACACATCACTCCAGACCTAACTGTTTTTGTTCATCATTGTCTTCTATGACTCGTTAACACCTTCATTTCAAGGGCGGTTATTACCGAGCCACAATTGATGAGGATTGAAGGGAAAGCAGTGTAATTTTTTGACGTTCATGGCTTGGTTCTATTTTCCTTGACTTCTTTTCTGGAAGTATCTTATACTTCTCCCGGCCCTGTGGAGAGTGGTGGAGGAGGGGTTCGAGATTGATGAGATGGGATTGGATGGATCTTGCATGACTCTTGTTCTTGTGTAGCCGAACTATCGAGTCTGTCTTGCTTCTGGTCAGGAGATAGTGTTGGTAGGTTCGACCCCAAGTAACCTGCTCTCCCCGTGAATTTAACTCCTTGAATGACCTGCAGCCATGATGCTCAAATATCGTACAACAATTATTTATCGTGGTTCTACCCGTAAGCTGACCTGTTTTTTATTATTAAAAAAACTCCGTTTTATGTTGAAGAGTTTGTCAATACCTGCTTGTGAATGATGTGGATGGCTTTGATTACCTCTCACGAGATTACTCCTAATTCACAAATCAAACAGGAATATAGAACACTTACATCATGGACTAAGTGCAACGCTTTAGCCACGTGTCTTAGCACTCAATCCCTTCCCTATTTTCTTGAAAACTAAGAACTGCATGATTCCTTCTCTGTCCTTGACGCATACTTATCTTTTTATATCTGAGCACTTTATGCCAATAGGTCGGTGTTGATCTCCTCGGCAGGGAACGTGAGGAAAGCGGGACCAGTGCAACTCACGGGCATAGCGTTCATTCTATGTTTAGAAGTTAGAAGTAGGTGGCTCAAAAAGTGTGGGAAATAGAACCTTATTTCCTCCTAAAATGTACCGTCGTTTTATACACTGCAATATGTTAAATAGTGATGTAACAGATAAGTGTGCCCATGTACATCGTTAATAATGTTTATTTGATGAGTAATTCTCGAGTTATGCTTAAACTAGTCAGGTCTAGTTTAGTTTCATTCTGCCAAATAACAATATTGCTCTGTTTTCCTCTGAAATCAATATCAAGCCAAGAGAAGCAGCGAGATGAACGCCGCTATTGTAACAAAATTTCTGCATGCATTCTTTGATTTGCCTATCTATATTGTATCAGATGTAATGTGCCTACAATGGTTCAGAAAATTGGCAACAAGACAAAACCTGATCGGATTGAAATTTCGGACTTCGTCCACACGTCAAAATTTCAAGACAAAAGTAAGAGTAATACAGTTACATAACGTCATTCGTAAGGGATTTCCAGACCATGTACAGAATTTACATATCAGATGTTCTTCAACTAACTAACCTTTATACATTGAGAAGAATGACATATTGTCTGAGTGATTATTGCAAGGCCCCATTTCACACGCCAGACTTGATGATATCCGCTGCTTTCTCTGCAACACCATAAAGCGTCTCACTTGGATGGGCACTAATGTGGAGAGGAAGTATACTTGCATCTACGACACGTAGGTTCACTGTATCGTAGACGCGAAGCTTGCCATCCACGACCCCTCCCAAATCACGCCGCATCATCGCCGCAGAACCAATCTCATGAAACACTGACGCAAATTCGTCGTGAATCCACGAATGCCATGCATTATCTGTACCACCGTTTCTATCGTCAGGAACTACATCGATTCCAGGATCGGTCTCTCCAGATGAGATGGACGCGAACGCTGGATGATTAAGCACCTTCCGGCCAACTCGGGTTCCGGCTGTCTGGACGGCGAGGTCATAATCGACATCGAAATAGTTCACTGTAACCTTCGGTTTTGTGAAGACACTTGTGTCCTTAATGGTGATATTACCGCGGCTGAACGGAAGTATGTTCCACAGGGTAGTGTTGATGCCGCTATCGAGTATTGTCAGGTGAAGATCGGGATAGTGTAAGTATTCGAATTTACCTGGAATTGCCGATCCCAAGGTAAATTTCACAAACAGGAGCTAGATAGGAGGTTCAACGCTTCGGCACGCACTTCACGACAATCCACTTACCATGATGATTCGCAATCAGGTCAGCTTGGATGCTAAATATCGTAGTAAGCGCGTCAGCATTCAATCCATTGACTGCTTGACTTTGTGCCCAAGACGGATATTGAGTCAAGACGTATCTAGCAATGTCGTCACCCGTCACACTTCCATTTGTGCCTGCACCTTCAGAGAAGAGCTCATGAATATTCAAGAACGCAATTGTAAACTCGGGCCCTGTGCCGCCTGCGTCAAAAGAAGGTTGTGTAGAATGCACGATATTGCTTGCTGTTCGATCCTGGAAGTTTCGCCCGACAGTCGGCAGATTGACCCTCACATCAATTCCAAGTGGATCGAGGACAGACGGGTCGCCAATCCCGGACAGCTGAAGTAACTGAGGGGAGGCAATCGCACCTGCGGATAGAATCACTTCCTTACGAGCATGGACAGTGAACGTATTCCCCGTGTTGTTCGAGTTCTTGAACTGGACACCTGTCGCCTTTACGTTAGGAGCGGACCCGGAAAGAAGCACCTTGGTCACGCGATTGTTAATCAGCGTGAGCCAATTCGTTCTCTCATTTTCGACGGGAGTAAGGTACGCTTGTGCAGACGACGAACGATGATCGTGGTCTTTCGGGTTTATCGATTCGGGATAGTAACTT